GGGCCAGCCCGGAAAGCTCCGAGGAGGAGCCTGGCGCCGCCATTTTCCTGCAGCCGCCTGTCCTTCTTGCCCGGCCCGGCTCCAGCTGACCAGGGAAGGGGTGGGCCGAGGCTGAGGCGCGGGGTCCCCGGAGCGCCCCGACTTGGTGTGGGAGCCCCCGGGGGACACGCGAGCCGGGGCTCTCCGGGCGGGTGGCGGCGCGCGGCCCTGAGCCCCGCCCCAGGCCGGCAGGCGGGCCGGGAGCCGGTGGGGGTAGGGGGTCCGGTGGGGGGTGGGGACCCTCGGACGCTTGGGGGGTCCCAGGCCCCGGCGGCTGCCGAGCGGAAGGGGTGGCGGACGAGCCGCAGACATGTCCGGCCAGAGCCTGACGGACCGAATCACCGCGGCCCAGCACAGTGTCACTGGCTCCGCGGTATCCAAGACGGTATGCAAGGCCACGACCCACGAGATCATGGGCCCCAAGAAGAAGCACCTGGACTGTGAGTGGAGCCCCCGCCGCACCCCCTCCCGCCTCCTCTCCATCCCTCTCCTCTCCCTCTCGGGCTGCCTCTTCCCTCCCTGCGTCTTGTCTGCACGGCGGCCCCTCTGCCTAGTCGAGCCGTGTGTTCTTTTCTGCTTCCATCACACCTGCCTCCAACGGCCTCTCCTCTCCATAGGGAAACGAGACAAGCCCTGCCCTCCGCAGATCCGCCGAGACCCTTGCCCCCTGGCCCCTGGCAGCACCAGTCCCCCCTGGCGCTCCACCCAGCTCCTCACCCAAACTCCTCTCCCAGCCACTGCAGCCTTTTGCCCTTCCATCCCACCCGTCCCGTGCCTCCTCGCCGCCCTCGGCTCAGTGTCTCCCGCTAGCTCTGGGACTCACCGCCCCATTGTTCCCCCGTTAGCTCTTTTTCGGGTTCCCTACTAACGGCTTGGTGGGCCCAGATTTCTGTCATTTCGCAGCCCTTGAAGTGGTCCCTACTTTCCTAGATTTTCTCCCCATTCCTTTCCTACCTTACTGTCTACCTTTTGGGTTATCTTTACCTCTGTAGCACCCGTTAAGTCCCTTTGACTTTCTGTCACCTTCTTCCTTCAGTACTATACCCGGTTACTCGGCTTTTATTCCATTTACGTTTGTGGAGAGTAGAAACAAAGGGATTCGGTGTGGTGTTCCGAGGAAAGCTTTGTGGGAAGTTACTATTTTTATTTGTCATCATTATATTGTCTGAGTTTTTAAGTTGCGTGAGTTGTGCATGTCCGACTTTCCCTTTTTTAATTCAAACTGGGATATGGAAAAGGGCTTTGCTGGTTTTGGTATCGGTTCCTGGAACTGTTAACAGTGGCGGTTTGAATTTAGAATTAGAAGCTTGAGTGTGAAGTGTTGGGATTTGAAATAGACTGATAAATTTAAGTACAAATAATCGGGTTTGGAAACGTTTTAGTTTATACTGGTTGTATTTTTGGATTACTACGCTTAGGAGCACTAATTTAGGAATAGTTAAATAGAGCAAACGCCTCCCAATTGTTTTCTAACCTGGGAGCCACCTGTAAAAGCACCTCCTTTTTCTTGTTGCTCCTTTGCCCCAGGGTACAAAGCTCAGTGGATCCTTCAGTTCTTGAGTCAGTGGAACGTTTCAGGAAAAAAATAGGGATATAGTCACCGATAGTAAATTCTCTTTTTAAATGACTCCCGGACACATTAGCTGAACTGACTTTCATCATACATGAAAGTTTCTTTGCCCTGTGAAGCAAGAGTGAGCTTGTCCTGAACGGGAATTCGCTGTAAGGAATCTTGTTTCTCATTTGGACTTTGGCTGTGAGGTTTGCACTTAAAAAAAATACAGTGTGTGAATTCTTCTAAGATACATTGCTCACGAAGTGCTGTTAGAACAAGTTATTGCCACAGACAAACCCATTATTCATTGTGATTTGTTCCCTAGCTGTGGAAAAGTTTTATAAAAAGTCATCATCTTTGCTGGCCGAGGTACTCAGGCTGCTTTTTAACTGCCTTTCCCTGTTTAGAAAGTGGAAGATATATTTAAATGGCCTATAAACATTGTTTGGGATAGTGTGACTGAATTGCAAATGGGTTTTGAAAGTATATAATATTTGGAGTTGACATTTCTGTTTACATCCTTTTCAAAGACTACCCACGGGATCTTTTTCCCCTTCCCCTTCCAAGCTTGTCTCAAATTTGCCTGGCTTTGAACTTGAGACCATCCTTCTGCCTCAGGACTCCTGTCAAATGCTACAATGGTTCAGTGGTATACAATACCACTATTTGTTTCAGTGCTGTGTTTGTAGTTTTTCATTTGTTTTTTGTTGTGTTGTGGAGGGGCAGACGATACTTGGGAATATATGAAGTGGTTTTCTTTAACTCAAAATGATAAATTATAACAACAGCTACAGCATTGAAACCTTTATAAAGTTTTCCTCTTCAATTGCAGCAATGATTATTGAATAAAGTTGCTATAATGGGTAGAAGATAGGCCTTTTTTGTTTTTTTTAGGTTAGAAGCAAAGGTTGTGGTTTTATCAAATTAGTGACTACTATAGATTCAAACTAGTTGGTCTTTAAGGATAATCTAATATCTATATTTTCCTCTACTACAGCTGTGTTTACAAACTTCCATACTTTTAGAGCTTAAATGTACTTGGTAATGTTTTTTAATACTAGTGTATTAAAAATAAGATGTCTCTGTTTCTTCTTAATGAGCTTTTAAAACAGTGACACTTTTCCCTTTAGTATAAAACTGTTTCTCAGTAATATTTTAGTAAAATCTCACTAATGATTGGGTTACAACTCTCCTTTCACATTTTAACATGCTTTGGAAAGTGATTCACAGGAAATTTTTGATGTCAATGCCATGAACTTCAGGGTATATAATGTATAATAGAGAAATGCATCATTTCAAGTAATTTTTGTTTAAGTAATTTTTCCCCCTTAAGAATTTTTCTCTGGATCTCTGTGAACTTGAGGCCAGCCTGGTATTCTATAGAGCGAGTTTCAGGATAGCCATGACTACACAAGAGAAACCTGGTCTTGAAAAACCAAAGAAAAAAAAATTATTATTTTTTTTTTTTTAATTTTTAAAGCTTAGTGCTCTTATGCCTTGTAATGTCTTCGGCTACTAAGGTCTGCTTCTTTGAACTTATTAGAAACATTTTCATTTTAAAATGGTAGCATTTAAGCCAGGCGGGAGGCAGAGGCAGTTGGATTTCTGTAGGCCAGCTTGCTCTACAAAGCAAGTCCAGGACAGCAAAAGCTCCACAGAGAAACCCTATCTTGGAAAAACCAAACCAAACTAAAACCTTCTAACTGGTAGCATTTAACAGAAATATGCCTAGTAATTTGCCTGTTTGCCTTTCCTACAAATCCTTTAGCATGAAGAAGTGGCTTTTGTATACTTCCCTTTGCAAGATCTTTCCATATTAGGAGGTGATTATTGTCCATACATTAGGAGTCAATTCATACTATATGTTATGCTTTTTAAAGATATTTTTGGCTTGTAGGTGTATTAGTACATAAAAACATTTACTAATGTTCTTACTGTGAAGTATTTAAACTTGAGAAATAAACATGATTTCCACTTAATTTCAGGCTTCTAATGGTCATTTATAATCAAGATAGACGAGCATAACCCTTAAATTTTCAGGCACAGCTATCTCCTCCCCCAAATCCACAGCTGTTCAAGTCCTTTGTATAAAGTGTATAGTGTTTGCGTGCAACCTACACATCCTCCTGTATATTTTAAAGCATTTCCATTACTTTATATCTGCTATGATATAAATGCTATGTAAACAATTGTGTATTGACTAGGGAATAATAAATATAAAAATAAATAAATATAAAAATAAGTGTGTGTAGTTCAGATGGAAGTTGTTTTGTTTTGTCTTTCAAGACAGGGTATTTCTCTGTAGCCTCGGATGTCCTGGACTGGCTTTGTACATGAGGCTGACCTCTGCCTGCCTCTACCTCCGAAAGTGCTGGGATTACAGGCTTGTGCCATCATGCTCAGCTATCAGATGCAAGTTTTTTACCAAATTTTTTTGTATCTATTGTGGAACCCATGTAAACACAGGGCCAACTCCAACTGTAATACATGTCATAAAGGAGAATATTTTTTTTTTGTGTGTGTGTGTGTGTGTGTGTGGTTTGGTTTTTTGAGACAGGGTTTCTCTGAGTAGCCTTGGCTGTCCAGGACTCACTTTGTAGACCAGGCAGGCCTCTAAGAAGAGATCCACCTGCCTCTGCCTCCCTGAGTGCTGAGATTACAGGTGTGTGCCACTGCTCCCAGCTGGAGAAATTTTTTAAAAAGAAATTTTAATTTATTATAATTTACTCACTTTGTATCCCAGCTGTAGCCCCCTCCCAATCCCTCCCTCCCTCCCTCCCTCTTCTCCCATGCTCCTCCCCCAGTCCACTGATAGGGGAGGTCCCCCTCCCCTTCGATCTGACCCTAGCCTATCAGGTCTCACCAGGATTGCCAATGCAGGCAATCGTCCTTAGAGAAGCTCTTAAGAGCACTGACATTCATTCTTTTTAGCTGTTCTATTTGTAATCATTACCAAATAAATTCTAAAACATTTTTAAAAAGTGATTATATTTAAGGAATGCTTAATAATATAAATGGTGAATTAGAATCATGTTTCTTAGGTATATCATATGTATCTTATGTGGAAAAAGTTAAAGCATGTTTTAGTTTAGAGGTGCAATTGAGAAATGAAACACTTCATAGTGATTTGACTACTTTCTTGTATTTTTCACGTTTAGATTGGCATGGAAATCTTTGTAACCCAGGTTGGTCTTGAACCCACAATCTTGCCTCTGCCCCCTGAGAAATGGGCTTGGTAACAATCGTGCACCTCCATGATTGCCTGCAAAGCATTTTAATGAGATACATTGATGTCTTACAATATTGCTTAAAAATTCTAGTTGTCAAAATTGATTTAATTTATAATAGGGTTTGAATCTAGGGCTCTACCACTGAGCTATATACTCAGGCCTCTTCTTACTTTTTGTTCTTGAGACAGGGTGGCATTGATTTTTTTTTTTTAGCCCAGGTAGACCTTGAACTTGTGACCCTCCTTCCTCAGCTTTCTGGGTGTTGTGATTATAGGCCTGTGCCAACAGGCCCAAAGTTTTGCTCTAGTTTAAAAGTATTTACTTGGACCTTGACCATTATTTAGAATATTTAAATAAAAGTTTACAATAATTCATAGAAAGTTCCACACATTTATTTCCTTTAGTTTCAAAGTGTTTAATTTTATTGTTTTTTAAGACTCAAATAAGTAACAAACAGAGTATAAAGGTTTCTTGGAAAGTGGTTGTAGTCCTACCCTGAAAAGGTGGCCTTAGACTTTGAAAGTAAAGTTTCTGTATTTGCTCTTCCTGTTCTTTTGGTGGCTAAAGTGGCATTTCCGTTACTTTGTGTTCTGTCTCATTGTGTTCCTAGCTGAAGTGCTTTATGTATTTCTCTAGAGAATTGCAATTTTGAGTA